GTGAGGAAGGGGTGCCCTTGGAGATGATGGAAGTGTTTGGGAACTAGATCGAGGGGATGGTGAGACAATACTGTGAATGCGGTAAATGCCGCTGGATGGTTCCTGTGAAGTGGTTAATGTTGTTATGTGAAGTCCGCCTTAATAAAAATAACTCCCATTTTTAATGGGGCAAACTTACCTACTGTGCAAGGAGTCAGAAAATGGTTACTCCGGGGCTGGGGGGCGGACAGTAATGACGGGGAGGGGCCTGAGGGAGCCTGCTGGGACACGGTCTGTGCCTGAATCTACGTGGTGGGTGGTTGCAGAGGTGAAAACGGCGCTAGCTCCCTGCTGAAGCCATGCATGCTAAGAGGGCGATTGTGAAATGCAACGAGGTAATCCATGTCGAGCGCTTTAAGCAGCCCTGGCACATAATAGATGCTCAATAATTAGTAGCCCTCAGCGGTATGATTACTATCTCAGACTACCCGGAGGGCTAGAGGAGACACTGCACATAAGGCGTTGAGCGTAAAAGCTGGCTTTTCGTACATGTCCCCCAAACGGAGGCAATTTTCATTCACCTCCAAGTGAACCCAGCCAAATTTTTATACAGTTCCCCCTATCTCCATGGAGACTGCTTCCAAGACCCTCTAGTGCAGTGGTTCTCAACCTGTGGGTCGCGACCCTTTAATACAGTTCCTCATGTTGTGGTGACCCCCAACCATAAAATTATTTTCGTTGCTACTTCATAACTGTAATTATGCTACTGTTATGAATCATAATGTGAATATCTGATATGCAGGATGTATTTAGGCGACCCCTGTGAAAGGGTTGTTCGACCCCCAAAGGGGTCGCGATCCACAGGTTGAGAACCACTGCTCTAATGGATGCCTAAAACCACAGATAATACCAGGCCCTAAATATCCTGTTTTTCCTACACATATATACCCATGATAAAGTTTAATTTCTAAATTAGGCACAGTAAGAGATTAACAACAATCCTATATAATAAAAGCCTAATATGTTAAGTGTCCAACCATCTGTTTGACCATCCGACCAGTCACTATGATGCTCACTGACCACCAGGGGGCAGACGCTCTGATCGATAAGTTAGCTTGCTGCTGGGGACTGGGCCAGAAGGGCCAGACATGCCCTGGAGTACTCCCTCGGTCCCTCCCTGG